GGTCATTTAATTAATATTCTGGCTTAGATCTGTTTGTTCAAATCCTTGGATTAACCCACTTTAAAACGATCTGTGTATGGAAGGTGACACTTAGAGAAATTTGAATAAAAAACAAACTCTGAAGCATAAAGAATGAAGTCCTCAGAGCTTTTCCGTTTCTATCAACCAGAAATAACTAAAGGCAGCATGAAAGAGTTGATTATCACAGTGCAGGTGAGATAGAGAAGATGAGCCTGTAATTTACTGAATAACACATAATTATGTACAGTTAAGGATGAAGATGCAGAAGGATCCGTGTCATGAAATATGCTGCAGATTAGCATGAAAATCCACTGGGGTCAATGCTTTTAAAGAAAGCAGCATGTTGACATCAGAGAGGCGCAGTAGGAAGGAAACTTTTTGCAGAAAACATGACTGTGTTGGTGCTGGATGTAAAAGAAGTAAATCTTTAAAGTACAGCAAGTAGAAATGGAAAATCTGCTGATGGACGGACTGAGAGGCTTTAAGAAGGTTATGCTGAAGTCAGAGTGAAGAGAAATTAAAACAACAACAGCAGAGCTGGTTTTTTGGCGGAGTCCTTATTCCATGCCTCAGCCGTCTTAAACTTCTGCTCGTGTCTGGGTTGGTAACAGTGTGGCGCAGTTACTTTTAATTTAAGACTGAAACCAACATTGTTGTTAACAGGAACTGTATGAGAGCCTCAACGGATTAGTTGTCTTCTATGTTTTAATTGACACCCAAAGGCTTTAGGTGGAAAGTCAATCCCTCATTTTGGCATTGAGCAGCTTCAGGCTAGCCATGAGGAAAATGAAAACAATAAACTGCTGGATGGAGGCTGTGATCGGATCATCATTTTAATTGAAATGCAGGACCTTCTGCAGCTTCTGTCAAAAGACTATAGCTTACAAAAAAACAACAACAATCCACTGGACTTTGTTTCCAAGTTTGAAGATGTTTCGCTTCCAATCCAGGAATCTTTTTGAATTCAATATATCAGAAATAGCGTTGAGTTTGAGGCTTTATAGAGTGGACCAACCAAGACAAAGCCTTGTTTTTGTTTAGAAAACATACAAATTGAACCAGAAGAACGGTAGCCTCGTGAGACCATCCTGATCTCGCGAGCTTTCAAGGTTTCACTCGCAGATCATTCTGGCTACTTTCCGTTAAATAAAATTTGGAGCCGTTCACCAAACGAACGTCCAA